CACTCAATCTTGGCCATTAGATTTGATCTGAAGCCATCTGACGCCTGATGGGATGAGGAGTATGGTGGACCAATGCTTTGGAGATCACATGCAATTCCCTGAAGAAAAAAATACACAAATGTTTTAGGGGACTTGGGATTCGAACCCAGGTCCCATTGCTCATTGGCCAACGCACCAACCACTCCACCAACGCCTAATAGTTGTTAGGATAATAAGAAAACAAAAATATATGTGAAACAACCACTTATGCCTGGAATAAAAAAATATGGCGCGAGTTTTGAATGGACCAATGGGAAGAAGACATGCCTTCGTCTTCTCCAATGGCCCTGGTATATTTTCCTGCGGGTCAAGCAAAGTAAGAAACAAAACAAAGAAACCCTAATGAAGGGAAGGCGCCGCGCAGCATGTTGCATTGGAAGAAAAACAAAAATTTATCATTGCTTTTATTGGGAAGAGGGAAAGAAATTATATTTTATTATAACTTGGGAAGAGAGTAAAAGTTATTATTATTATTATTACAAAGAAAGTAAAAAAAAACAGTAAAGATATGTTGTAAAAGAAAAAAAAACAATGTTATCCCAAACAGATCCAAACCTTCCCCTCTCATTCTCTTACGCCTACTCTCTTCTCTTCTTCATTACAGAAAAACCTCTTTCTTCCTCCCTCTCCAAGATCCGACCCCGTCTCCCTCTTTCTTCAATATTTCTCAATCTCTTTTCTGTTTTTTTCCGATGAAGATAATAGAAACTAAATAGTAGAAAATATTAAAAATGAAAAATGGAAATCTGGTGGTTTAGGTGGCGGTTTTGGAGATTTTGATAACAACTTTGGTGGTACTGGTAACAGATCTAGTTCTTCTAGTAGGAGGTTTGATGGTTTCGATGATAGATATGAGATGTTAAAGATTTCGTTGGAAGTGACGCCAAAATCCTTGAAGGAGATGTCGCAGAAATATTCTCGATCCTTCCCCGCCACCTGTTGTCGTGGCTCTTGTTGTTGCGGTGGTGCTGCATCTTCCATCACCGCGTCAGTTGGCGGAGCTCCTCCTCCTTCCATTATTCTTCCTCTTGAAACTGATTTGTGTTGTGCTTGTGATTGTGTTTGTATGTGAAAGCTTTTGTTGTTCAAATAGATCTGTGTTATTTCACTCTATTTTTATTATTTAATAGCAAAAGATAACAAGCCCTTTTTGACAGCAAGAGCAAAAAATAGTTTTTTTTATGGATTTTAAGATTTTTATAACAGCATAATGGTTTTATGGATATTTTGATATTTAGAAAACAAAATATTTTTGGATATTTGATATTAGAAAAGCAAAATATTTTTTTTGGTTTTGTAACAACAAATATTTTTTTGGTTTTTTGTAACAGCAAATGTTTTAAAATTTTTGTGACAACAAAAATATTTTGGACAGCAAAGGTGTTTTTGGGCAGCAAAGATGTTTTTAGGACATCAAAAATATTTTGGACAGCAAAAATATCTTTGGACATGAAGCTCTAAACAAGTTGGGACAACAAGTTCTAAACAAGTTTTTGGGACAGCAAGATGGATAACAATTATTTGGGACAACAAGCGATAAATTGGTATTATGCAACGGAAGAAGTAAGCTTTTATTACACTTATTATCATTATCAATATTATGAATACTAACATATTTAAATATGCTAACAATCATGCAGCAATTTCAACTTAAATACAATACAACAATGGAAATAATGATAAGGCAAATATTCCATAGCAAGGAAAAAAATGATACAACAAGTGATTCAAGCATGAACATATGCAACAGTAGATAGAGAAGAGAAAAAGAATATACCTATCGGAGCCTCTCCGATGGGGCTTCTAACAAAATGGCAAGCTTCCTTGAATTTGCTATCTTTTCCCCTTGTTGGTTTTTTTTAGAACAACACTAATTTTCTGGTTTTTTCTACTTGCTGAAACTTTAGAATAACACTAATTTTCTGTTTTCTTTAACTGCTGAATTTTTCTTCCCCCTTTCTTGTGTTGACAAAGACTCTTATTTATAGAGGAGTGTGGAGGATTTGAGGGGGGAAAATAGTAGAAATTTAAACTGTTTTGGCAAGTTGTTTCTATGCTTTGTTCTCACAAATTACTTTAGCCATTTTGATACAAATTGCTGCCACTTTGATGCAGGTTGGAGCAGGTTTTTGGCAGCACTTGGAGCTGCTGTATGTTGCTGTTTTTTTTACTGTTTTGTAGAATTTTACAACATTTCTCTTTGCTGTTTTTTTCAGGTTATTTGGAGCATTATTTGACCAACAAAAATACAACAAAATGGACTTGAAGAAAGGTTGCAAACATGGGCTGCACTAGCACTTTGCTGAATTTTTTTATGTTGAAAATAAATCTTGTATAAACTTGTAGCTTCTTGAAACTTTGTAATAAACTCCAATAAATTATAACATTGAATAAATATGCATTCTTCAATATATTTCCACTCTTTGATAGTTATGAATAATCTTGAATCTTCACATAAACATGAATCTTGATATATCTTGATAAAAATTCAAGACCTTCCATTTAAATTTGGGAAATAATTAAATAGTACTTGGATGAATTTTTGAATGAAGAATAAATAATAATGCAAGTATTGGACTTTAATCTTGCATTCTTGTAATAGAAATCCAAATAAATCACATGGATTAATCTTATAACCAAATAAAATTTCCTCATGTAATTAAATAGAATTCCTCACTAACTTCTTGAAATAATACTTCAATGTATTTAAATAACCATGATGTAGATTCACCAAAATAATCACAAGAATAATCTTGAATAAATATCTCATGTGATAAATGAATATTCTTGGATGAGATCTCTTGATAGCTCCTCTTTAATTATCACTTGGATTCAAATAAAGAAAATTCCAAATATTCCGAATAAATTCTTCTAGAACAGTTTTTGAATTTAATTATCCTATCTCGGAGAAATTCAATCCGCGTCGTGAGAAAAATTCCAGATGACTTTTGGTCCAAGAAAATAAAAAATGACGGTATACCTGTTTCTTCTTGTATTTTAGAACAAAGTGAAACACACATGAACCAAAGCCGGTAGAATTTTGACTGTTCTTCGTAAAAAATATTCGGAGAAAAACGAAGACCATTTGCTGGACAGAGTGTGGAAATAAACGCACAATTCTCTGAAATTCTTTGATGAATCAGTCTATTGGAAATTAATGAACGACATCATTTCTGTTCTGAGACTCGAAATCCTGATCGACGTACAACGTCTAATGCTCTTCTTTCAGACCTATTTTATGCACATGAAAACAAAACAGTAAAACATGCACTTCGTGCTTGATTAGTGGTTAGTCATTCATAAAAATGCTCACAACACTCGATAATCTCTACACAGTCAAAGCTCGAAAGCGAAACGTTCGAAACCTACCGTATTTTGTGACATTGATGCGTATAAAAAAAATAATAATGCAGATGGAGCAGGGATCTTAGGTCAAAAATTGGGATATGACATATAGTATTCGGCCCAAATGAATAGAGCGATAAAAGATACGTTATGATTGGATCAGATAGAAAAGCTAATTTTTGGCTATATTATAATTGAAAAAAAAATTTGTGATCAAATACATAAAGGATAAGAAAAATCGTCCAATTAGATTATTTGTTGATGCATAACATTGATTATTTTCATTCAATAGTTGAAAATAGAAATAATCCTAATAAAAACAAAATTTAGCTTTTTTTACAAAAAGGTAAAATTGAGCTTTTCACAACATATTCATTTCTTATATGATAGATTGATTTATTGGTACTGAGATCTGACAAATACTTTATAAGTAGAGAAATTCAACTATCATAAAAGATATGAAAATCGTATATATGTTTGGTTATAATATGTTTAAATTATTTTTTATTTTCTCTAGTTTTTAATATTATTTTTTCTTTTAATAAATAATTATTTCCTAAATTTTATTTTATTAAGGGTGTTATTCTAAAAATTAGAACCACTCTTCAAATTGTTTAAAAATTAGAATAGTCTTTATAGGGAGAGAGTGAGGAAAAACTTACACAAAAAACATTCTTAAATATTTTAAATGGAGAAATTTATGGAGAAAACTTAGATACAACTTCTTACATGTGACTTTTATTATTTTTAAAAATATGACAATTGTATAATCTTCTTTTAAGCATGTGTAATTTCTTTTCATTTTTACTCTATAAATCATATTAAAACACACTTGTCATATTTTTATTAAAAAATGATAAAAAATACAACTAAAAAATTGTATCCAAATTTTCTTCAAAATTTATAGATATTAATTATAAGAGCATATATTAGTATGGAGATAGATTGGTAGATGTTGATAAATTACGATATTTAATTAGAAAGTAAATTTCTATTATATTCAAATTTAACATTCAAGTATTTGGGAAATATTTTTATTATAAAATTCTTTTTGGGCAAATATTTTTACTATATATTTAAAATTAGACGAATGTGAATGTGCACGTGGGCAAATATTTTTACTATATATTTAAAATTAGAGGAATGTGAATGGGCACGTGTGAAGGAGATAAAATGATAGATAATCTGGTACTATTTTTTAGGAATATGTTATGGTTTGTTATGGTTTGAATATTTTTTATTTTTCAATAATTGTGACTTGACACATAATTACAATTGATTTAATGATAGTGAGATCAGACAAACACTTTATAAATAGCGAAATTCTAGTATCATAAGAGATAAGTATAAAATCAAATTTAAGTTTTTGTCAAAATATGTATAAATTACTTTTTTCTCTAATTTTTAGGAATATGTTATGGTTTGACCGTGAGATAAAATGTTTTTCTTTTCAAGATTGATAAAATAATATGAAATGATAGGATAGTTAGTTAATTATGGTTTGACCGTGAGGTTATTATTTTAGTATATAAATAAGAAACTCAGTAGAGTGTGATTCATTATTATTATTTTAATATACAAGTAATAAGTAATATCAAAGTTTCTCCTTCTTAGAGATGATGACACCGCCTCTTTCCAACTTAGCAAAAGAGGTTTGTTTGTTTCACCATTCACTATGAATGCATATTATCAACCTTGATTTTCTTTGTTTCTTGTATTTCTAACATTGCATGTAGATTTTCTCCAAAAACCCTAAATAGATTTTGGCTGTAATTTTTGAAATGTTTACGCTTGGCTATATGCAGGATGATGAGTCTTTCTTAAACTACCTCAAGAGTCTACCTCCTATAGACACCAACAACTGTGGAGCATCTTTGAATTCACTTGACATGGATTCTACTCCTACATTTCACTCCTACGTCATATCAAACTTTCTCGCCTTAAATGAGCCCATGAGGTACTTGTAATATATTCTTTTCCTGTTTATGGATGATTGTGAGTTACCATATTTGATACCTCTCTTTTATTCATTGCTAGAAATAACCCTTTAGATACATCAATGCCTCAACATTTTTCTGAGGATGCAAATAAAATACATTCACATGAAGAAGCTGATAAAGTTATTGCCACCCAAGATTACTCACCTGGACATCATCCTTTAATCTCAAGTGATGAGTACCCTAACTATCTGCTAGACTTTCTTGCCATGCCAGTACCGAATGATATCTATGTACAAGATGGTGCTATGAAAGATTCAGTTGAGGGTGGAAATTATATTCAAGAAGTAGGTCAGATCGAGGCAAACATTGAAGTTCCAGATTGTGATGGCGAAAACGTTATTAGTGAAATGCAATCTTTAACTTTAATGGATAGAAATCCAATTGAGTGGAAGAATGCTAGTAATAAAATGTGTGGGAGTACTAACATAATGCCATTTCAGGACCTAACAAATAAACAGTTGAATCCTCCAAACTTGAAAAGGAAGAGGACATGTCAGATTGATTTGGATACTTCTTGCTTAACAAATGAAAATCAGGAAGAAACTGTTGATTTCTATAAGAGTATCCCCACAAAAAAGATGAAAATGTAGTTGTTGATTAACTTTATTCCATTATTATTTTTGTTTTATCTTTCTTCATTATTCTAACACCAAAGCTCGTTTTTGCAGCCACAATTCAGATGCATGCAATAACTGTAAATGTAAAAAATCTCAGTGTTTGAAACTGTAAGTTATTAAAACTGCTCCTTATTTTAGGTGACAGCATAAAGATTACTCTACTAATATAATTTGTGAATGAGCTTAATTTATATATTTACTGCTCCTTATTTCAGTTATTGTGTGTGCTTTGCTACTGGAGTTTACTGCACAGGACCTTGTTCATGTCAAAACTGCTTGAATAGACCTATTAACAAAGATAAAATCCTGGAAGCTCGCAAGAAGATTGTGCCTAAAGTTGTAAGAAGTTCTAATTCCTCACCTCAAGTTTGGCTTAGAAAATAAATTGAAACTTGATTCTATATTGATGATATTTTTTTTTGTAGGAGGACCCCAACAAAAGCGGATGCAAATGCTATAAATCAAACTGCCTAAAGAAATATTGTGAATGTTTTAAGGCTGGTGATGGTTGCTCCCCGAGTTGTAACTGTCGAGGATGTGAGAATATACATGGTAGAAGGATCGTGTGGTTGGAACAAAATCTCAGCTTGAAGAACTAGAAGCATTAGAAATCATGATTTGATATGTTGATTTTTTGTTTTTGATGAGATGATAAATTTGATGTTCATTATTGATCTCTCAATTCATTTGTATGTGCACACAGACCAATGCTTCTATGAACTTATTTATCAATGAATGGAAGATCTTGTACTGAATTGTTTAAAAGAAGTTTCTTTTATTTTATGATATAACATTAATTAGTTTATCTTAGTACTTCAAAATATATTTGATGATTATAATGCTCTTTCAATATTTCACAATACATTTCAATTTCTTCCTTTAAATTTCATATTAGTTTTTGTCATTTGAATTTCACATGTTAATACACATTTTTCCGTGTCTTTTAAATTTGTCTTCAATATTATATGTTTATGGGTGAGTTCAAATATTTTAAGAATGACTTGCTAAATAACATAACACTAATTGTTTTCTACAAATTATAAGTTTAGAGATTCACTTTCATTTTTAATTTCTACACATTACATTGTGATTTTGTGAAGACTTGTGAGATCCAAGAAATAAGTAGTGAGCTATAAATCTAATGATAAATTCCAATATTTCGAATGTACTTTGGTGCTCTAGGGAGGAGTATTTCCAAACACTCAAATACTCAACTCTCGGTGACAATCAAAAGTGATGGAAATATAGGAATAAAATAGTTTGTACATTGATGTGATGTCTTAATTGACCTTTTATAGTGATGTTTTATGGTTTCAAAAACTTATAACTTTTTGTGATGGACAGTTGAATAAAGGAGACATGTCAAAAGATCGCTCGTAGTATGATTTGAGAGTTCTACTCCAATAATTTACTCTAATCAGATGTCATTCTAGGTTAGACTCATCTTAGGTTCTACGGTGCTAGAACCTTCATGTGAATAATAATTCTAAAAAGATTACGTCACCTGTCTAAGGTCATTGTGGTGATGTCAACATCTTGTGATATCCATATTCGATAGTCCATAGAATTCTTGATGCTATCGTTCTTTAAGCACTCTATATTGGGCTTGATCGCATCAAATTGGGCCTTGGGACCATGCGGAAACACTAGCCCCCCAAGACAGGTTTTGTAAAGTCGGGTCATGGTTTGTGTTCATGTGTCCCGAGGATTGTTCTATATGTGTTTCATTGTGAATGTCTTCCATATTTGTTAGTTTTATTACATCAGTCACATGAGAGTCATTCCTGGGTTATTGGCATATGTTTTGGTGTCAGTGGTTTTGTCTTTGTTTTTTCTTTTAACCGAATGAGGGATATTTTGGTCAATCTATCCCTGAGTCACTACTAAAAATAATGCATTCTCACAACTACAAAATATACCATTTGTAACATGTTATTATATTTCAATAGACGGAAGTAATAGGTTATATTTATGCGTCTGCATTATTTTATTAAAAGACTTTTCACTAAGGTCCTTAATAATAACCGTGGTGAAAAGTAGAAAGGTGTCACTTTTAGCCACAGTTGGGATTCCAAGCGTGGTGAAAAGTAGCGTCTGGTCATGAGTTCAAATCTCAGCACCAACATTTTGTGTTTTTTTACTTATTTTAAGCCACTTTTCATGACATTTGAAATGCCAACCGTGGTGAAAAGTGGCACATTCTTGCTTGAAAGGATGGTACAATGTCAATGTACATGTTTATTGCTTTCTAGACCATAGCATAAATATGACACTTATAATTTGTACAAACATCAATTCATTCATTCTTTTGTACTACATGTTTGATGATTGAATCACTTTAGATTAAAGCCTAAATGTGAGGAAACTTTCCATTGTTTATCATATGCATAGGAGACCAACAATTCTTTGTTTTAACTCTATTGGCTTTTGTTTAATCTTGCAATTATGTTGAATTTATGAAAGCATGAAAATGATCAAGGCAATTTTTTTTTAATTTGAGCATAACCACTTGACCAGAAGGGACCTACCTTGTGAGTGAGCGAGAATTCATTAACCCTTTTGAGCCTTAGTATCAGGATCCATATCAGTTTTAAACTGTGAAATTCGCACTTAAGTAATTAGTTCATCATTGATTTTTGAATAGTTTCTTGAAACACTTGAACCATCAACCTTCATTTGTGGTTGAAATTTTGTGCCTTGCCTTAGAAAATAGGAGAGCATTCATGTTACAATTTTGGTTGTTTTCAAGTTGGGGAGAAAAAAGGTGGGTTGCTTAGAAATTGAAAAAGAAAGAAAATCAAAAAGAAAGAAATTGTGAAAAAGAAAAGAAAAAGAGATGAAAAATTTGAAAGAAAAAGTGGAAACCATTTTTTTCCAGCCAATGTGAATCAAGGGTGTATATTTAAACAAAAATAATATGGTAAACAAAGTTGTGAATGGTTAAGAGTTGAAAAATATATTCTCTTCATGATTTTGTCAACTTTGTTTCAAATACTTGTAGATATGACCTTTGTTTGTTAACTAAACCACATTACAACCCTTGAAAATCCTTTGTGATTTATGCTTTTATGCCTTCAACATGATTTTCTTGGATGAGTATATAATTTAATCAAGATGTTAGCAAGGTTGTTAGGTGTGAGTTAAGTCTCTCATATTTGTTCTTTATACATTGATGAAGATGTGTGCTAGGTGTGATTCATAATTGAACATATGTTGCCTTGGAATGATTGACATGAGTTTATAATTTTTTTCATGATCGTGGTTTGATTCTAGGATAGTGGTAAGCATGACCTTTCCCGTGCTTTCAAAAATTTGAACCATGCATTTTTCATCTTTTATCAAAACTTGTTTGATCATGAGATGTTTTGGAAGTTGCTCTTGTTTCTTTAGGTTTGTAAGACTCTTGTTTGAGGACAGACAAAATTCTAAGTTGGGGAGAGTTGATAAGGGTCAAATTATGTTGAATATTTGTATGAAATGGTGGTACTTATTAACTTGATTCATTGGATTCACAAGTCAAAAATTCAACTTTTGTGTAAATACCAGCTTTAGTAGATATTCATGTAAATATTGTGTAGTTTGATCATTTGCAACTCATTTTGCAGGTATTTTTGCATTTGAGGAGCTTTGGGCTTCAAAAGGCAAGGAAATGGCTTCAACATGCATTTGTGAAACAAAGACACACCTGTAAGATGGGGATGAGCGCAAGCGCCAATAGAAAAAAATCCATTGATGTTCGTGTTGAGCGCACCCTTGCAGCGTGAGGGCGCTGAGTGCCAGATACCTGCACTGAGCGCCATTTAGGGAGGTTTGAGTTGTTTGTTTTCTAGCTACGTTGAGTGAAGCCTGATAGCGCTAAGTGTACATTACTTTATCAGCCTTGTATAAATAGCTTTTCACTTCTTATTTTTAGGGTTAGACTCAATTTTTGAGAGAGAAATTCACCAAGAACAAGAGAAAAACTCAGAATCAAGGAATCAGAGCTAAATACGCAACCTTTGTCGACTAACTAACTTGGATTCTTATTCATCTATTCTGTTTTCTTGTAAAGCAAGCTACCATGATGATGTGTATCTAAATATGTTGTGTTAGGATTTGATTTGATTGACTATACTCATATGTATTTCTTTCGATCATTGTTATATGAACTAGTTATGAGTCAATATTGATGTTATCTTTGTTTTCATGTTAATTTTATGGTTTTGAATCATTATTGATAAATATCTTTCAAGTCTTGATCTAAGATCATCATTTTTCCAACACCAAAGTCTAGAGATAGATTTGGGGTTTGATATTCACATACTAGATCAGTTGAATACATATGAAATAGGTTAATGAAATATAATCCTGACATGTTTCTCTACTTGTTAATTTTTTAAGTATTTACCGTTTTTACATCTCGTTACTTTACCAAATCAAAACTCTTGTGATCCTTTCCTTGAAATCATATTAGTTGTTGAACGAAAGTGATATCACACTAATCCTTGTGGAGACGATACAACAATACTTACCCCTTCAAAAGTGTTTCATCAGTAATCAATTAGGAAATTCCATTAATCTATTGTGGCTTCCCATAATGGAATGTTTAGATATATAGTTTTTACCAATCATTAAGAGACAGTCATAATAGATTATGGACTCGATTAGGCATCATATATATAATTGATTATGTATATATTATAACTTATTAGAGAGCTTGAAACATTCTCCTAATCAAACAAACAGTCTTCTAATCAACTTGCTAGGCCTTTAAAACATATTTAGGTGATTTAAGTGTGTGTGTGAGATTTATCTATAATACTTCCAGAAACACCCTTGTGTCTTTATAATATACAGATCACTCAACCAAATATGATCAAGAGAGCTTTCACACTTCTTTTTTTCACTATCTAACACTTCAAGTCTTGATATCTTTATCTTTGATTTTAGCACCACACAAGAGTCTCGAGTCTTATTGACGAGGCTTGAGATATTTCCATACTAGTTACCGTCATCTGATATGTTGAAAGTTTAAAACATTGGTGATCATAAACCCTAATTCTTCACTTGAGAGTCATTGGACTATACTGTTTACTTTAAACAAATGTCTTTATCTTGATTTTGGACAATAGCTTGATCAACCACCTTGTGCATCTTTGACCACTTGAGATAACTTTAGCAATTGCTTGACTTTAAGTATTATCATCATCAAAACCATTTTATTATCAAAACTAAGAAGCTACTGATTTTCTTGTATCTTTATATCCTTAAGTTTCACTATCTTGGATCACTTATAAATTGTACCCGCAAGCACATAGATCCACACAAATATATATGCACAATCAGACACTTCTACCTTACCAACTTGATCTTAGTTTCATCAAAGGTAACACAAACTAATTCTTCTACATACATGATTATTTTATTAAAGATTCTAAAAGTTTTACTAGAAGTGGAATATCCTAAAAATAAACCTTCATCTACTTTAGCATCGAATATTCCAAGGTTATCCTCCCCATTATTAAGAACAAATTATTTGCATTAAAAAACGTTGAGGTAAAAAATATTGGGCTTCCTTCCTTTGTATAAATAATAGGACGTCAAATTTAAAATTGATCTT